AAGCATCCATGGATGCTGGCATTCACAAGTAGGTCCTAGAAACAATCATCTTGGATATCAAGAGACAGACAACTGTAACAAGGTATTGTAGGTTTACAGCATATGTAAAAGTAAAATGCAGAACAATACTGGCACATAATAATAGTTGGGAGAAACTGGAAATATACCTTGCAGAGCTGCCTCTATTCAAAAAGTGGTATGATGTTGCTTGAATACACTCTGTGTTTGAAGATAATAGAGAAATTGACACAACTTTTTTTTTTAAAAAAGGTAATATAAATATAAATTATGAGTCACTAGCAAAAATAAGATGAACTAAAAAAAAAAAAAATAGAGGGCTGGGGCTACAACTTGGTGATAGAACACTTGCCTACCACAAGAGGCTCTAGTATTGATCTCCAACACTGGAAACAAAAAGCTTTCAGCTGGAACTGCAGCCTGCCTATAGTCCCACCTATTGGAGGCTGGTGCAGGAGGATCACTTGAGCCACTAGTTTGAGGCCAGCCTAGGCAACATAATGAGAGTCTGTCTCAAAAAAGCAAACAACAAAAATCCAAACAGCAAACAGAAGTAGAGTGTAAACAGGCTGAACAGAAAACAACTACGTTAGCAGATTTAAATACAATCACATCAATAATTACATTAAATGTAAATGGCCTAAACATCACAATCAGATTATCATGTCCTAGAATAAGCCAGACTCAGACAAATATCAATTTTTCTTTCATATGCTGAATCTAGATTTAAATAAAAAAAAAAAACCTGTAAGAAGAAGGGGGACTATTAGGCAAGAGTAAGGAGAACAATGAGAAGAGGAAGGGAGACAGAAGAGGGCAATATAAGGGTAAATATGATCAAAGTACACTATGAAAGGAAATGTCAGGGTAAACCCATTATTTTGTAAAGCTAATATACACTAATAAAACATTTTTTTAAAGGCAGATTATCAGGAGATCTTGAAAAAGTGGGTTGTCTAAAGCAAACCCACTTTAAATAAAAAGACATAGACTGAAAGTCAATTTTTCCCAAATTGACCCATACATTCAAAACAATACAAACTAAAATCCCCTCAGGACTTTTTGTAGAAACCAACAAGATGACTAAAAATTTTACAGAAAAGTAAAGGAACTAGAACAGCCAAAATGAGTTTTCAAAAGAAGAAAGCTCAAGAATTCACATTTCCTGATTTCAAGACTTATTATAAAGATAAACCTAACAATGTAGTATTGGCAAAATTATAGGCACAAAGATCAAGGGTATTGTCCAAAAAAAGACTCATACATATGGTTTGATTTTCAACAAAGTTAATTCAATGGGAAAGGAATGTGTTCCCAACAAATGGCACTGGAAGAACTACATGAAAAGAAATCATTTGAAAAGAAAATGAGCCCTGACCTTTATTACATGCCATATACAAAACCTAACCCATTATCTTGATATAAAGGCCAAAACTATGAAACTTGTAGAAGAAAACACAGTAAGAAATATGAACAATTCTACATTGGGCAAAGAATTCACAGAACACAGAAGCAAAAAAATCATAAAAGAAAAAATTGATGACCTGAATTTAATCGTAATTAAAAGTTCTTCTTTAGTTTGAAAAATGAAAAAGGCCTCATTTTGCAAGGTGTGTTTATAAGTCTCTATGTGTTAAAGCAGTTACATACAGAATGTATAAAAATTTCTTAGAACTCATTAAGACAAACAATCTTGACTTTTAAAAATGAGTGAGAGGTTTGAAGACATGCTTCACAAAGGAAGACACACACATGAGCAAATTCTAGGCATCATTCGTCATCAGGTACACGTGAGCGAGACACTATTATATGCCCACCAGAAAGGCTAAAAATTAAAAAGACTGAAATAACTGAGTGTTAATGAGACTGCGGAGTAGCTGAATGTCACAGGCATATATGGTGGGCATATAAATGGGACAACCACTGTAGAAAACAATCTAGCAATTTCTTAAATAGTTAAGCATTCACCTGCCATACAATCCCACAAAAGGCATGTCTAGTTATTTACCAAGAAAAATAAAAACATATTCACACATGGACTCAGAATTAAATGTTCATAGCAGCTTTATTATTAAGAGTCCCAGACTGGAAACAATCCAGATATCCATAAATGGATGAAAAAGCCAATAAGATGTGCTAAATCAACTACCGTGAACTACTCTGCAATAAAAATGAAGTGAACTAGTTAAATACACAATTACATAGATGATCCTTAAAAACATCATGCTGAGGAAAACCAGATACAAAAGAGTGCATTTTACACAATTCAACTGATATGAAATTCTGGAACAAATGAAACCAATTTAGAGTGAGTAGAAGGTAAGTGGTTTCCTGGGAATCAGGGTAAAAATATGATTAACTACCAAAGGGCAGAATATTCTCCATCTTGATTTGTTTGTAAAGAGTTCACTTTCATGTGATGTCAAGATATAGGAGTACACATTTGTTAAAGCAAGATGAATTGTACATTTTAAATAAACATATTTTATTGTGTCAAAGTTAGCCTCGATAAAGTTAATCTTTATTTTTTTAGGGCACTATTAAGCAAAAGATGTCCAAAAAAGATTAAGAAAATATAATACCCATTTATGGCATCTACAAATGTTAACAAAAATGAAAACAACAATAAAACCATCTTGGAAAGCCAAGAAGGAAGTATTTTAGCTTAATATTAGTTATTTATCCAGAAGCTTCAGGAAACATTTTTAATGCTAAAACATCTTACATGTTAAAGACAGAAAGAGCAACATGTTTTTAGCTACCAGTGCTATTATTCAGCATTATTTAGCATACCTGGGCAAAACAATGAGGAAAAAAAAACTTGAAAAGTAAACAAAATTGTTAATATTTGCATATAACTGTCAACTCAATAAAATGATAAGATATATAAAAACAGAAAACTATGATAAAATATATAAAAACAGAAAACTCATGCTTTTCTATATCCAGAAAAAAAAGCGATAGAAAGAATATGAATGAAATGTTATAGAAAAGTTTTCATCTGCCAGATCCATCAAATCATAAATCAGCTAGGAATACTGAGAAGGAATGTCACACATATGGAGGGGGTAGCAGGACTATAAACTTTCCCTAATAAAAGCAAGATGAGAATGAAAGGGGGGGGGCTCAATATTATAAAGGTTAGTTCTCTACAAGTTAAAATTTCAATATAATCAAAACAGCTAAGCATTTTTTAATTTAAATAAGTTGAGTCTAAAGTTCATTTGAAAGAAATGTCTAAAAAAAGAACATTTTCAAAAAGAGTAAAAAGGAGAAATGGTAATCAAAATTTTAAATATGCATACACTTTATGTGAGCAAGTCCATTTCTAGAAACTTGTGCTCCAGAAATAATCACAAACATTTTACTGAACTGTTACCAATAGTTGATTCTTGGGATTCAGGTAGGACTAGAAGGTGAAGTTGGAACTGTGCTTTTTACCCTACTGCTTAAAGTTTAAAAATCAAGAATTTAAAGTTTATAATTAAACACCAATCAATAAATTAGAATGCTGTGTTTATTATAAAGCATTATTTGTGCTAGCAAAAAAGAAACTGCAATTAATTTAATCGTCTTTCAATGAGATTGGTTAAATAAATTATAATCCATTCATACTGATGACATGTCACATAGTCTTTAAAAAGTATTCGGAAGGCCTATATGAAAAAGGAAAACATGTCCAAGAGCTGTAATTAAGTGAAAAAAACAGATGATTTACAAATGAGCTTGGTATACTCCCTCCTCAAAAAAAATTTTGCATTTAAGATTATGTGTTTAAATGTGCATTTGTAAAAGGGCTTTGAAAGATGAACACTAACTTGTTATATCTAGATACTGGAGTAGGATTGGAGGATGAAAAGAAATATTCACATTTTATACCAAACAGTCCTTCATATTGTTGAATTTTACATCAAGCTTGCATGTCTGTAGTCAATAAAAAAAACTGAAGTTATTTCATATGACCCGGCTTTCAGAAGACTACGAAACTGAATTAAAAAAACAGCTTCAACCTTTATTTCTGTTATTTTCAAGTTTATTTACATCCTCTTCAAATGATCTGCAGTCTTCAGCAAAGGTGACTGCCATTTTGAAAGAAATGTGACCGAACATTTCATGATAAAAACACTACATACTAAACCTTTCTACAAAAACAAATCGTAACTCCAAGGAAGGAGTAGACCCAAAAGCAGCGTCTATGCAGATAATACCCGTATCTTAATGCCTCAAGAGGGATCCCTTCCTCCCAGCACCGACTATTTACCTCCTCCCCTCTTCTTCCACTTGGCCTGGGCGACTTTAAACTCACCATCTTGAATGTGCGCAAAACGACTGGCAACGTGAGCGAGGCCGGGCAGGAGGTGCGGGCGTCAGGCGGCTCGGGCCTGACTTTACTAACGGGAAGCACAGGGGGAACGCGCCGAGCGCGGCGGGGTGGGTGGGCGCAGGATGCGGGGCGAGGCTGCGTGACAGCAGGGAAATGCAGATCGGGCCGCGGGCCGGGCGGGAGGAGGGGAGGAGGCGGGGCGGGGGTTGCGGGCCTGTGGCGCAGAACCATCGGTCTACTCGGGCGGCTGGACGGGGCACCGCGCGCTGCCAGGTGCTGGGGGCGGCACACTCGCCGACAGGCGCGGGGTCCTTGGCCAAGGCACCAAGGACAGCACAAGAGACGACTGGAGAAAGCGGTTGCCGGACAGACCCCCCGACACGGATCCATGCCACCTTTCAGAGAGCCTGCGGGCGCGGCGGCCCCGGACACCAGTGCGGCCCCAGGTCCGGGCTGGAGCGGGCCCAGGAGGCGAAGGAGGCCTCTCCTAGCCATCAACCCCACCCACCATGGCCGGCGCAGCGGGCCAGGACAGGCCCCGATCCTTCTCCAGGAGGGACTGAGAATCTGAGGCGCTAAAGGCAGCGATTTCTTCGCCTCGATCAACACACTCCCGACATCAGAACGAGCCCGATTGAAAAAAAAAAAATCCCCTCACCGAAATGTGCAGCGGCTCCGGAGCGAGAACAGCGCTCGATCCTCCACCCGCCACCACCGCCTTCTTCTCCGCCTCCGACTCCTCCCCCGCCGAACGCGCAGCGACAAGCGGCTGCGGCGGCGGCGGCGGCGGCGGCGGCGGCGGCGGCAGCGGCGGCGGCGACGGCGGCGGCGGAAGCCGAGGCAGCGGCGGCGTGCCCCGCCCCTGGCGCCGCGGCGAAGGTGGAGAAGGAGAGCACGTAAGTCCCTCCCTCGGAACAGTCCTGACCAATAGACTTAATGGGCTTCTGCGGGAAAAATACACACACCCAATCGGAGCCTGAGGAGCGGGCTCACGTCAGTAGTTGGGACGTGGCAGAGAAAGGGAAAATTACTTGGATTGTCTCTCCGCCCTGCTCCCCCTCCTCTCGCAGGGAGACTTCACCGATTGGCCGTATAGCGGAAAGACGAAGCCTGACTCCACCCACCTGTCTGAACCCACCTCCTTTCCCTGCAGCACTGCGACGTTTGGGGAGGGGGCGGGGCACCGTGTCGCTGAAATTGCACAGCCTTTTGTGGTTTGGGCTGGGAGAAAAGGGCGGGGTCTCGGGGAAAAGGAGAGGGGGTGTGGAAAACCCAGGGAAGGACTGGCGCAGTTAGACTTTTTCAGAAATTTCAACAGTAGCTACCAAAATGGAGGCATTGCAGTCGAACCTAATTCGACTGACAACCTAACAATTGCACTTCAGGTGTCATTGGGAAAAGAAAAACCCAATCAATCGTAGTTCAGCTGTCAGTGGAAAGAGAAAACACGACAGGAGGAAAAGGAATGTTACCCACCCTGACTACGCAGTGCTGTGCTTCCTGCCCGCTCACCTCGCAGTCAGACCTTCACCCCTCATTTCTGATCCTACTGGAGCCAGGGAGGGCACAGAGGAGGTTTTTCTCTCCTCTCTGTAACCCTGGGCTTTATCAGTCTTGCAGTTTGCATCTTCAAGCTAATTGGTTATCACACTGGAAAGTAACAGCTCCCATCACATGCAACCAAAATAAATGCAACAGCTGTGGTCCCCGGACACCCGGCTTAATTTAAACCCGGTAACAGATTAGTTAATTATGTCGGTGATCCAAAATTGTTTCTTCGTTCCGCACATGTCCTCTCTTTACAACCTGCAACCTGATGACGGGCGTGCTCCTCTGTCTCACTCCCCAACCCCCCCGCGCCACCCCCCGCGCCCCACCGCCCCAGCCCGATGCCCGGGGTGTGCTTACCGCGTCGCCTCCCCCGCGAATTCAGAGCACCGCTTCTTGTTCTGGCCTTCGATGACAGTGAACTGAGACTAATTTTTTTTTTTCCCTTGTTGATAGAAACAAGGATCCTAAATTTACCGGAGAAATTTAGGCTGAGAATTTACTAGACATTTTGTGAAATCAAGTTTAATTTCCAACCCACCCCTGTAGTGCATATTTTACGAAGAAACCATTTCCCACTTGGTAGTACTGTGCCTTTGCACATGTTTCTGTAGGAGTTGTAACTTTTTCTATTCAAGTCCCTCCTTCTCTGAAAGAGCATTCATATTTTAATTACATTCCTTTGATTTCCCTTTAGAGTTTTGCAGATTGGTTCAATTGTATGCATTAACCTCTTTTTGGGGGGAGAGGAAGAGTTTCTCAAATTTTAATCGTCATAGTACTTGCAGTATGAATTTTTTGTGGATGTCACAGTGACATCTCTAAATCAATCAATGTGTTTTTCTTATTTCTTTAAGGGAGAAGCTGTGAAAATTTTGTAAATGGAAAATAGCATCACCTTCCAACTAAGTTGAAAGTAACTAAGAAAAATGAAGCAAAATTTTAAATTCTAGTTAAAAACTATTGCCCACTAATATTGTGACTTTGAAACCTTTGTTGAAAAGGTAGATTATCAAGTATGAGACAAATATTAAAGACACAGCACTCAAATGACATTTTTACCATGATGTCATCAAATGATAGAAAAAAAGAACCCAAGTAGCAATCAGATTCTCACTGTGTTAGTCATTGTTTTTAATCCTGCATGCATGACCTGAGTACAGTCATCCAAGGCATCACATGTGATCTGTGTTACTCTGAAAAACACTGGGATGGAGGCTGAAAGTGTGTACTCTAGAATCAAACAGACATATCTCATCCTAGCTCCTGCGTCTATACTTCTCCCACCTTGATTTCCTAGTTAAATATGGGAAAGTAATAATACCAACATATGGGTTGTTGCATAGATTAAATAATCTAATTAATGTAATTATATCATACCTAGAATGAAGTGCTAAATACATATTAGTTTATGTACAATATTATTGTTATATGTATATAAAACAATAACATGTATTATTAGTGTAAATGTATTGTTGTTGTTTATTCCATAGTTAGGAAGCACTCCCTAAAGCAATGGGTTGAAGGAACCACATAATGGTAGAGCACCTGACTAGCAGGTGAATTCAGGAGGCCCTGAGTTCAAACTCAAAAAATAATAATAATACTGGCAAGGGTGGGGGTGGGAATAGGAAGGAACCCTATACATTGTTGGCGGGATTGCAAATTAGCCCAGTCACTATGGAAATCAGTAGGGAGGTTCCTCAAAAAACTAAAAATAGGGCTACCAAATGATCCAGTTATACCACTCCTGGGCTTATACTCAAAGGAATCTAAGCCCGCATACAATACAGATACCTGCACATCCATGTTTATGGCAGCACTAATCACAGTAGCCAAGTTGTGGAATCAGTTTAGGTGCCCATCAAGAGATGAGTGGAAAAAGAAAATGTGGTGTATATACACAATGGAGTTTTAGTCAGAGGAATGAAATTATATCATTTGCAGAAAATGGAGGTAATCATATGAAGCAAAATAAGCCAGGCTGAGAAAGATGAATATCATGTGTTTTTTTTTTTTCCTATTTGGAATCTATACATTCAAAAAAATGAAAGTAGAAGAGGGACTGTTTGGGAAGAGGAAAGCACTAGTAGGAGGGAGGCGGAGGAAAAGAGAGGGTAATAGGAGGATGATATGATCAAAGTACTTTATATACATGTATGAAAATGTCATGATGAAACCCATTAGAATATATATTTTTTAAAATTTTATTATTGTTGCACTGGGGGTAAATTGTGACATTTACCACAGTTCTTACAATATATCTTAGTTGAATTCACCCCCTTCATCTTTCTCCTTTATTCTCCCTTCTCCCATTACTGGAATATTTCAACAGGTCTCATTTTCCATTTCATGCATGAGTACAAAGCATTTCCACCACATTCACCCTCCTTCACCCTGTCCTTATGACTTTCACTCGTGCCAACCCCCAGACAGGAGCTGTTTTGCCTACCTGTTCTCTGTTTTTGAAAGAAAAATACATTTTTATTTGTTTAAGGTGGCTATACAGGGAGTTTCATTGTGACATTTCCATGTATATATGTATTATAACCTGAATTGGTTCATCACCTCTGTTTTTTCCCTTTCTACCTCAGTCCCTTTCTTATGGTGATTTCCACTGGTTTAAAAATATTAATCCCCATTCCAACAGTATCAACATTTCCTGAGAACTTTTTTTAAAATGCAAATTCTCAGGTTCAACCTCAGACCTGAATCAGAAACTCTAAGCAAGGGACCCAGTTGTATTTTAACAAGCCTTCTAGATGGTTCCAATGTACATAGCTTGACAACTGTGAACATAAATAGAAGGAGAACTGGTTAAGGAGTGTGTGTGGGGGGGTCTGTGTTCTAATCATAGCATTAGAGTTGTGTCAACAAAAATGAAGATGAGGACCTCTGAAAATATTCTTTTCTACAAAAGCCATGAGAATGCTGGCAAAATTGTCAGAATCAACCTCTAGAAATTAATCAAAAGCTTAAAACAATTCAGGGAGTATTTAATTGAGAAAAATGGCTGACTGTCTATAAGAAAAGCAAACTTTGAAATTTGACTTGCTCGTATTGCAATCCCCCCTATTTACTGCTGGATTTCTTGCTCTTTGTATCAATCACTTAGGAGTCAGTCAACAACTTGAGTCAACAATTTTAGGGGAATTTCTATAAAGATTTCAAGTTTCCTTCTTTGTAGTTCTCTCTTCTTAGAGGTTTTCCCTCTTGTATTCAGCCTTTTGGGCAATTTTGTACTCTGACCTCTGTCTCCTTGTGTAAAAACGGTACTCTGTGTATACCACTTTCTTGTTTGAACTCCACAAGTTAGTACATATTCTCAGGGAAAAAGTCAGGATGAATGGGACACTCATTTCAAGGATCATAGGCTCTCAAGTCTTACCCTAAGCATAGATAACTTCAGTGCCTTCAAATATTTGTTTTATGTTTTACTGTTGCTTTCATTGGGAAGATTAGTCTGAAAGAAGTTAATCAGTAGTGTGGTTGCAACTGAAAGTCCACAAGACAGTTTTAAAATTTTAACCAGGAAACACATTTTTAGTCTAGACTCATGGTTCTTCATCAATAGAATTTCTTCCAAATCTTAGTAAACTTCTGATATTTTTCCTTTCAGGCAGTTTTATGACTCACCAGCCATATTCAGAGTTCTTCCCTGGAATTAATTCTCAAGTCTGGTTTAATTCTTTGCTTCCTCACATCTATGACTCTCTTTCAGTTTAGTGATGACCACCTTGAGGCCATCTGGCCTCTGTCTTCTAATTTCCTAGTTCAGGGTTCAGTAGAAGTCCATTTTCCCAGGCATTTGCAATTCCATACTTCTCAAATGTGTTTTATTTCTACTTGCAAACAGCCATATCTTATCTGCGATCATCTATTTCAACTTATACTTTCCTAAATAGTCAGTTGCAATAATATTTTGTTGCAACATTTTCACTAAAGTTACAGACTCTACAGGCAGTGTAACTACCTCCCAGTAATTACTACAGTGATATCTACCTCTAACCACGTTCTTTGAGACTACATAGCATATATTCACCATCATTTTAGCATCTAATGTCAGTTGCCTCACCATCCACTGAACACCTTTTAAGCCAGTGCCATGTTTTCAATATTTTGGTACAAGAAATCTTGTATTTATTAGAACACTAGCTAATGTAACAGACAAAGCCTAAAATGTTATGGCTTAACTCAGTCGAAGTTTATTTCATGAAAACATAAAGTTCAGCTAGTAGAAGGAGAGAGGAGGAGTAGAGGAGAGGTTCTGCTTTATGTTATAATTTAAAAACCCTG